ACACGCTACACAGTGGTACATGCATGAAAACCCCCAGAGATTCTGTATGGATACGAAACAATTAGATTTAGCCCTTACTGAAATTGCTTTCAATCACCGAGATAAGAAACCGTCACCAAGCTTAAACTACAAAAGTTAAAATGTAAAATCTTTGTTTTAACTCCTGAGCTAAGGTCTCATACTCTAGAGGGAAATCTCACTTCTCTTTCCAAAAAGGGAAATTAATACATATTTGCTGTGTGCTTTAATAATGTAAGTTACAATCCTGCTCCTCAACCAAAAGGATATCGATCCCAGCGGTGACAGTGGTAAACTGCTGCAGAGGGCTGCCATTCTCTATTCAACAGCTCTCACTGAAGCTAAAAGCTTTACATTAAACTAAGCCAAAGGCAAATTCGGAAAATGATTTTAAAGAATTTATCTCAAAAATGGATAAAATGACAATAGATAAAGCAATAATAATTTCAGAAATCTGTCTTGAAAGAAAACTATCACTTTTTAAATAAGATTGGAAACTCTCCAGTGCACATGTAGCAGTTTCTGCTGTTAAAAATTAAAAATGTATGAAGCAACTTTTCATAAAAGCAGAAGGGAAAAAGTAAATTTCAGGTTGAGATCAAAGCATTTAAACTTGAATCTAGAAGAAATTATAATCCCATAACACTCGAGAATGGTTTTAAAATATTTTAATCATGCCCAATTTTAACAATAGGAACCTATTTGGATGCCAAAAGAAAAAAAAATTATCTAGTACGATCTTCTTTCTGTCTCCAAAGTGGTGATTTTGCAAGCACTCTAGAAGAGTTAAATGAGGGCTGTTAAAGAATTTCACACAGGATGATCAACAATATAAATGCAGAAAAGAATCTCATAATTACCAAAGGAAACTTCCAGCTGTGGGCAATTAAAGGTTTAACGTATTAACAATGAGACACTTCCTAACCTGGGGGGAGGGGAGGCAACTCACGGAACTTACATTCTCTGGGAAAACGCTGGCGTAAATAAACTTCTCACCCAGAGGTGTCGTGAAATAGCTGGGCTGAATTATCAGATGCCCTCGACTCTGAATAAAATACCACATAAACTCAAACATCATCCTGAGTACCAGAATTACTCTCTTTAAGTTTTTATAACTATGGAACATTTAGAAATGTTGACTGCTTGTATGGAGTCCAAAAGTAATGGTGGGAGAATGTCCCACTCCCCTCCCTGCAATTCACATGTGGGTCAGAGAGTGGAATTTCCTGGGCAAATGACCTCACCTATTCTTGCCTCAAGTGCCTCAGGCTAAAATTTTTATTCCCCTTCTTTTCTTTATGGCAATACTCCCCATTTAAGTGACTATTAAAGCAAGTACTTTTTCTGAGCTCCTTTCTCAATTTTTTTTACCCAGTTACTATGAATACTGGTAAATTAAAAGCCATAGTAATTGTAAGCACCTCCAGACTTGAGCTGTTGGTCCAAATAAAAGTCTAAAATTCATAATCTGGGAACAAGTATTTTACATGAACGTTCGTGTTTATTATGAATAGCTGTGAATAGGCAATCTTTATTTTTATATACATGTATATATACACGTTACCGAACAAGAGGTCTGAGGGGGGGGGCAATATTTGGCCCACCTAGGGATGCCAAAAACTGCTACACAACAGGGGCTCCTCCCAAGGACAAAATACTAATATTTACTGGGCTCTTCTGTCTGCTGCCAACTGGAAAGACATCTCTCAATGCCAGAGATTTGTGAAAAGGAAACAAAATGTTTATTTAATGCTATTTAGGCTTAATGTCTCCACTAAAATATCAAAGTCCTTTAGGGTATACACCTACACGCACAGCTCCCTTCTCCCACTGTCCCAACTCTGGGTACCGTAAATTAAGAAAAGAACACACGTCTGTGTTTCAGGCCGCTGGCACCATATGCTGTATCACCATGTAGGCAGGATCTCTCGAGTTAATCCAGTCATGTGGCACCTTCTCACGGTCCACTGGCAAGAGTTCTTTCTACCAAGTTCTAGTCAAAGTCTCTCCTGCTTTCCAGGCCCCTCGGCCAAAGGGAGCACCTCAAAGCTGCATGGGCCTCTTCTACCAAAGCTGCAGCGGGCCGCACTCCACCAAAAGCATGTGCCTTTCTTCTTCACCTGGCTGCAGGGATCTCCATTCTGGCAAAGCTGCATGGTTTTCCCTTTCGCCTGGGCAGTTATCCCCTCATGTCCTGGAGCCAGTCTTTTCCAAGCTCTCACACAGGCCCTCTCCCACTCCGGAGCGCAGCCCCTAGTTACATCCTGAGTCCGAAGCCACTCCCTTCTCCCTGGCTCAAAACTTGGCCACAGCTATTTAACATATCTATGAAACCAGTTAAAGGTTATAGATATGTTAAATAATCATTAGGGAGGTTAGCTGCAAAACTGTTGCTATGCAAAACAGCTCTCAATGGCCCTGCTCTATTTGTCTTTTCCCCCTGGGGGGGGGGGGCGGTGAGGATATCTTATATGTCTCTCCAATATTCCTATACACTTTGAATTCTGGACACCATTCCAAATCTTTTTTTGCCCCCCTCCCAGCTGTACCCTGTATCACACACACATATATGTATTAGAGTAATGGATTCCAAAATTCACTCACACCACAATTTATGTAGGTCTCTTATTTTGTCAATGAGTAATCTATTTTTCTTACTGAGCCCCTACTAGCTATAAGGGAAAAATTTAGTTCGCGGGTTTATTTAAATTAAAATATAGCTTGGTTTATTCTTTTACAAAGTCTTGAGAATAATATTGTTCAATCTATTTTTCAAGCTGGACTTGGCCTCCTCATCTGCACTGCTGGCCATGTCTGAGACACTAGGGATGGATGAGGGTTATGATGCAGAAATCCTTGTGAAGAGAAAACTGGGCTTCCTCAGGCAGTATCTTTGATCTTCTCATCTCTAAAGCAATGCTAGTTTGTGGTATTGCCTCCTTTTCTTGGTTTGGTTAGGGCCTGGTAGCTAGCTGGCGTTGGTAAATGGAATCTCACCTTGGTTCTCCTAGGCACACAAAATCACAGTCTTTGTCCCCATCTCTAGTTAGTCATCTAATTGCAATATTGTACTCTTGACCTTGACTATAGAATTACTTTGTCCAAAACTGAAGCAGTCTCCATGACAGCTCTTTTGCTTTCAATTCAGCTCTTAGACAATTTCAGGGGAGTAAGAACTCCCAGGTTGCATCACACTGCAAGGAAACTGAGAAAGGCTTGGCTGATGGCCTCTCCAGGTTCACCTCACTGACCCATCATGAGATACACTAACCTCTCCCTCCCACAATCCCATGAGAGTAGAAGGAGACTGCTTCTGCCTGATACACTGCTTCTGCTGCTCCCTGGACTCCAGCTCCTTGGTTAGCCTTAAAGACAACCTTGTTTTCAAGCATATTGCCTTGCTCGAGAAGTTAAATTATCAATTTTTCCCCCACTTCAAAATAGCTGGCTTTTTGGCTTGAGGGCAGTTTAAGCAATGATGTTCATATGATCAGGCAGGGGTACTGAAGGAGACGTTGAATCAAAAGATTTGTTTCCGGCTTTGAGGTTTTAATTTAGGGCCTAATTTTATTTTCTCCTTTTGAATACTTTCTCATGGCATGACCTCGGTTAAGTCACCTTTTATAATCCTTAGCTTCTCTGTGCAAAAGGGATGGAGTAACACATGTTTTTCTACATCTCAGTGTCCTTGTGAGAACAGTATGATTTCCTGGGGTTGAAACCAATTTATAAATGACAAACACAGGAAATGTAAGCTTCTTCCTTTTCAAAATGTAAAGCTGAAACATTCCACACTGAATCCACATAAAGCCAGTTGTGGAACACAGGAATTTAATACCTCATTCTAGTGGCAATTTGTTTCCAGAATCTATGTCTTTGCTTTAAAAGACTTAAAGAGAGTCATGTGATCATAGATTATCTCACCAGGGTGTTCTATCAACCACCACTTCACCAGGAAGTTTGCTTACTAGAATATATTGAAACAATTCTCCTGTGCCTTCAAATCATCATGAAAACAGAATTAGATTCGCAGTTATCATCCATTTGTTTAGTTGGTTCACTGCTAAGAAACTGGCTTCAAACCAGGTCTTTGTCATTGATGACTCTGTCAAGGTAGCCATTGTCACGTGAGACATGAGAAAAGTAAGAGCAATCCTTCAAAAAAGGAATTATGTTGGAGGAGGCCTGTGGCTTGCAGCATGGAGGAAAGAGTCCCAGCTCTCATCTGAAGGACTCCTCAGCTACAAAGATGACGAAGGCTTGATTGTTCTGAAAATAACACTAACCATTCAACTCCGTATTTTTCCTTCCAGTCAATCTTCATATCGCTGACTAGTACCAAATATAACATAGACTTGGAGAAATTTTTTTCATTTCTTTTTTGTTTAATCTTTATTGTATTTTTTCCATTACCATTTAGTCCCCTTACACTCCCCTCCCCGCCCCCCCCGCCAGCAGTCACCACACTGTTTTCCATGTCCATGAGTCAAAAAAGCCTTTGGTTGTTTATAAGTTTTCCCATGTAAAAATAATTACATGATAACCAACTGTAATATGTAATTCACTAGGGAAATTATTGCCTACTACAGTTTAAAAGGCTTATCAAGATGAACATATATACCACATGTTACAAATCTGCTTGTTAGAGACACAAAAGAGAAAAGAAAATCGTTGTTTATTTAATGATTTAAGCAATATCTTGTTTTCTAACTAAAAAAATGAGTTTTAGGGAGGAATAGTTACTTGCTTAAGGTAATACAGCCACCTTGTTTTATCAAAAGCAATACTTTTAGTCAGACATGCCTCCATTTAAAATTTATTTAGTGATTCCCTAAAAGCCATGATTACATTTATTCAAGGCTCACAATGAAATTTTTAGTTCCATCTGTGACGTACATTGGGTAATAATACACCTTAGTTAATAGAATGAAAAATAGTTGTAACTTAACATTTTAAATGAACATGTGCAAGAATGAGAATAATATCTGTGATGATCCTATCCCGAACCTGAATTTCTGTCAAAAAAAAAAAATTAATACGGATCTGGCTTCTGAGATTAAAAAAAAGAGAGAGAGAATAAAAGTCTACTCATTCCTTATCATTACCTGTTGGTCTCCATTTTCTTGGTAGATTTAATAATTGCCCTGAAGTTTTTCCACAGATTAATAAATACTAGTGGAAACCAAATGTTTTGCTCTTTCTGAATGATGGATGAGAAGAAAATGAAACAAAACCATTATTTCAGGTGGTTCTTATAATCAGGCACATTTAAGAACCCTTCATCTTACCTGGTTATTCCTGGGTGTATCCACCTTCGTTTTGATAGCCTACATCTCCTTCCCACAGCGTATGCTCCTTGGAAGTTTAAATTTCACGAAGTGCCAAATAATCAACCCCCCATTCTTCCCCTTAGCTTGTGCTTAAATTCTAACTGTCCACAAGTATTTGTGTTTTAACAGAAGACTCCAAAAGAATGAAAAAGTTCTTATAACCAAAGTAATGAATCCCTGGTGTATCTCTGGATACCTTGGTCAGTTAATTCTGGTCTTTACCTTACAGCCATATTATATATACTCTGCTTACAAGACTATATTTTTCTTCTGTATGTTTAAGGGACATAAAACACCACCAAGGACAATGTCAAGAACCTAAAGAGTGACATTTCAGAAATTAATATTCTTTCCTGGAAAATAATCCTCAGTCAGGAGACAAACATCTGGAATAACAGAATTTTTTTGTTTAATTTACAGTGGAATTCAAAATATTTTTAGTCCATATTTATTGAGAGAGCCAGATGCAATGCATTAAAAATTGTTTGCCTAATTCAAACCATAAAGAAAATTATCTTTTTTTCCATATGACTTCAAATTTAGAAGGGGAGGTTGGGTGTGGAGCAGTAATAACAATTCCTGCTTTTCAAAGATTATGGGATGGCAGTCTGCAATTCCTTCAATGTTAACATGAACATTCTGAAGTGTTTCTCTTTAAGATAAACTTTTGCTTTTTTTACTTCCCTAGAATAAGTCAGTACATACATCTCAGATTTAACTTGTAAGAAGGCTACAGTATATATGTAGCATAAAATATGTTTTCTAAAATAAGAAGCCACTTCCATAAATTTGTCAGTAGAGCTTTTTTTGGAGAAATGAGAGTTTTGTAATTCCAACATGAAGATTTCATTTGTACCTAAAGTAGATTTTTCTAAGGTGATGTTGTATTATAGATTCCAAAAAGATATTTTTAAAATTATTCTTTACATCTTGAGTTAAAATTACTTAAATACATGAAAAAATAAAATAAAATCCTCCCAGGAGGTTTTAGTTTATAAGCTCATCCTCTCGACTAAATTCTTCACTGGCTTATAAATTCCTCCTCTGGCGGAGTTGACCATCTATGAAAAACTAAGCCCACATCCATCTTATTTAAAGTTTCTGTGAAACAAGGCATCATTTGATAAAACTCACACACTGCGTAAATAGTTTTCTTCAAATGTAACTAAGTGAAAGAATCTGACGCTAAGTTCTCCTTTACCAGATCTATTGCTTAGTCTCTTCTCGCTTGACTAGCATAGGAAGCCATGGTTTCATTAAAAAATTCTAATATCACTTATATTAATATTTCACATGTTTTGCTGCATCTGGCATTGTGTTAATTGTTGCAAGAGTATAAGGAAGTACATAAAACCCAAGCTTCATCACCCTCTCAATAGAAAAACTTCAAACAAAACACTGAAATAAAAACAGAGGGTGAATGAGATGCAATACTGGACAATTTGGTATGTTTTACTAAAATTTAGAGAAAAGAGTAATGAGTATAGACAAGAGGTAACAATATTTTGTGAAATATGTGGGACATGAGTGTGATTGAATTACTAATTGCTAGACCAATTTGAGGGGCCTAATTTGGCATAGCCTAACTATTCTAGGACTGTGATCTACTGTCTTATTATAAGCTGAGCAATCTATTGTCTTAATTATAGGCTGAACAAAAGCTGATGTGAAAACTGGTGATTCAAGTGTTCAAGATAAGTTGGCACTCAAAAAATACCCCCAGCCCTGGCTGGAGTGGCTTAGTGGATTGAGCATTGGCCTGCAAACCGAAGGGTCACTGGTTCAATTCCCAGTCAGGACACATGCCTGGGTTGTGCGTCAGGACCCCAGTAGGAGGCGCACAAGTGGCAACTACACACTGATGTTTTTCTCCTGTTTCTCTCTCCCTTCCCCTCTCTCTAAAAATAAATAAATAAAATCTTAAAAAATACTCCTAGTAAAAGTAATAATTGTGATTAAGGAGTATCAATAGTTTATGATCTCAGTTAAAATGAATTTTTGTAAGCTTACCCAGGGTTTATGATTATTTTGCATAGTAAGGTCCACATAAAAATGGCTTTAGCATAGCCCAAGTGGCATTTAACTCTCTGAAAACAAAGACAGGTATCTTTACCTGGATGAAACTTGAAGTCAGAGGCGAATGTTGCAACAACAGCCTGGCCTTCAGTGCGCCCACTCTGGGAGACCCTGCCTCAGGCCTCTGCCTGGCCTGCCCTTCCAGGCTCCCCTTAGCTTGAGGTTTATATTGGTCCATCCACATCCCAGAAACTACTCCCAGCGTCAGGGCATTCAGAATGCCTCCTCCACCAGTGTGACAGATGCAGCATGGAAAGCAAAGAACTTTCTATGTTAGGAAATAAGTATTGTTACATTCCTATCTGAGTCCTTGTGTGACCAACAGTACAAATGTGTTGCCTCTAATACCCCGTTTCAATCACTTGAAAAGGGTGATGCCATCAGAACTGGCTGTGCACAGAACTCTTTCCAACGTAACCCAGACGCACACTGGTTTACAGCCCTCAACCCAGGGCTCCGGGCAACCACTCAGTTCCCAGTTGGCACACGACATGGAGACTGTTTGGAATTTCTATCCTAAGCATCCCTCGAGGATGGTGGGACCAGGGCAGAGTCCTTGCACAAACAGAGTTGGGGACAGTCAGATTGAAAGCCAGCATTTTTGAGGGGCTACATTTACCAAATGTGGATCAAACTGTATAACTTGTTGGAAGAAACAGTCACTGTTGAGATAAATTCTAGATTTGAAAAAAGAATATGAGAAGAGAAAAAGTAAGTGTTAGGCGGGGGGCTATCATTTGTGAACTGCAGAATTGATTATTTTTTAAAAAGTCATTAGAAACCTACAGACTGATTTTACCATCAACATTGTAGATATATATGTAGCTGTCATGGTGAGGAATGATTTGTCAAAGTCACCTAGATATCAGTCACCTAGTCAGTCAAGAGTCGAGCCTAGAATTTTCTATCCGGAACGATAAAACATGTGAGCTTGTGGCAGTGAATATCACCCCAAACAAAGTCTGTTCCTAGCTCAATTTCTTCTCCTTTTAGAGAATCAGCCCTTCAAAGACCTCTTTCCAGAACCCCACAGTTAACAGGAAAACCTTCTACATGGCAAGAAACACTCTTTAAGCAAAGAAATTGAGTTGGCTGTGAAAATTCAACTGTTTTTCCGTAACTCATTTAATTGCAAGTCGCTAAGTCTCCAGATGCAGCCGCCCACCACGAAGGGTGGTTTCCGTTCTCATTGATCCCCAGAAGTCTTGTCACTGCCAATGCTCTGCAAACTCAGTGCTCCGAGGGGGAGAGTGGCAGAGAGACCGTGGCTGCAGGTGTAAATGAAATCAATCAGCTCCCGTTTGGGCAAATGTTTTATTGATTAGATCCGTTAAATATACACTCTTACCTCTCTTCCCCAGAACACACATACCTTTAAGTACATTAAGTATTAAGCAGTCTGTCTGCATTCCTGTCAGAACGGCTACAAGGACCAGTAACACCATGGCAGAAAATAATTTAAAATTAGATGTGTTAAAGTGAGAAATCAGTGAGAAATGTGGGGACAAAAATGAGGATAACATGAAGCATGATTAGTCAACAGGTAGAAAGTCAGGCATTATCAGTCGTAGCACCATTCCCACACAAGGCTTCCTGCCACCTCGCACAGCTGAGTAAGAGAGTCAAGCTCAGGAAATCCTTGGCTGTCCCTGAACCACGACTTCCACTTCCTTAAAACTAGGTAGCATAATATCGACCTTGAGGATTGCCTTGAAATTAAATGAGGTGATATACGGAAAGTTCCTCAGAGCAGCAGGCACTTAATACACATTTGTTTCCCTTCTGCTCTTAAGCGGCTTCATCTGCCAGGAAGCCAGGGCATTCCCTCCAGCAGGGGTGTCCCACCTGCTCTCCGCAGGCCGCATGCAGCCCAGGGTGGCTGTGAATGCAGCCAACACAAAATCGCAAATCTACTTAAAACTTTGTGAGATCTTTCTTGTGATCACTTGTTGCGATGTATTTAATGCGTGACCCAAGACAACTCTTCTTCCAGCGTGGCACAGAGATGCCAAGAGGCTGGACATCTCTGCCAGTGGAAATGGTACTGTGACCTAAGATCTTCTGTCAGAACTTTTTTCATTTCAAAAGAGAGAAAACCCCATGCAAACTCAGTTTAATAACATAAATGTACAGCTCTTGCAAACAAACACCGGAAGCAATGGTGGTTTCAGGCAAGTTTTGAGCAAATGACGTGTGTCATCAGGAATCTTCCCTTTGTCTCTGCCCTCCGCCTTCCAGTCCACAGATTCAACTCACACCTCCCACGCAGTCTCCAGCAGCTCCAGGCTCACCCCTCATTCAGCAAGTGGGCTCATCTTCCAACACATACACCATATTACCCCACACTGTCTGGTGAAGGAGAGGGCACCTCTTCTGCTAAGTCACACACCAGGCTAAGATTCACTACACCGCATGACTGGCTATCCCTGAACTAATCCCCATAACGAAAGGGACCAGAAATGTTGTCAAACCAAGCAAAGCACAGGTTTGAGTAGTAGGGAGGTGTAAAAATCCAGAAAATTAGAGTATCACAGGCAGAAATGAAACAAAGGATTGGTGTGACATCAATTGTCTGCTAGAAATGATAGGTTCTAACAGCTGACTTGACAACCTGTAAGCCTAAGAATAAATCTCGGCTGTTCACTGTTTTG